CGGGGGTGGGGCCAACTGGGACATTCCCAGTTTGGAACTGGGACATTCCCAGTTTGGGACTGGGATCAGACCGGTTCCAAACTGGGAGGGACTGGGGTGGGGCATGGGGGAAAAATTTTGGGGGGAGAAGTCGAGATTTTGGTGAAAAAATTGGAAATTACGGAGGAAAAACTTCGAAATTTGGAGGGAAGAGCTCGAAAAGGTCAATCCAAGATGGCGGAGGGGGCGGGGCCAACTGGGACATTCCCAGTTACAAACTGGAAGGGACTGGGGTGGGGCATGGGGGAAAAAAGTAAAAATTTTGGGAAAAAAAACCGGTCAAAATTTAGAGGGAAAAGCTCAAAAAGATCAATCCAAGATGGCGGCTGGGACGGGGCCAACTGGGACATTCCCAGTTTGAAACTGGGGCATTCCCAGTTTGAAATTGGGACATTCCAAGTTTGGGACTGGGAGCTCCAAATTTGGGGGAAAATCCCGAAATTTTGGGGAAAAAAAAGTAAAAATTTGGAGGGAAGAGCTCGAAAAGATCAATCCAAGATGGCGGCGGGGGCGGGGCCCCTTCGCAGTATGAACCAGTATGAACCAGTATAAACCAATAAAAACGAGTATAATCCAATATAAACCAGTATAAACCAGTATAACCCAGTGCTCCCAGTACCCTGCCCCAGTACAAACCAGTATAACCAGTATAACCAGTGTAACCCAGTATAAACCAGTATAACCTAATATAAACCAGTATAACCCAGTTCTCCCAGTACAAACCAGTATAACCAGTATAACCAGTATAACCCAGTATAAACCAGTATAACCCAATATAAACGAGTATAACCCAGTGCTCCCAGTACAAACCAGTATAACCAGTATAACCAGTATAACCCAGTATAAACCAGTACAAACCAGTATAACCCAATATAAACGAGTATAACCCAGTGCTGAGTACCATGCCCCAGTACAAACTGGTATAAACCAGTATAAACCAGTCCAAACCAGTATAAACCAGTCCTCCCAGTGCAAACCAGTATAATCCAGTGCTCCCAGCACCCTGCCCCAGTCCAAACCAGTGTAAACCAGTATAAACCAGTACCCTGGCCCAGCGCCCGCGCCGCGTGCCTGTCCACGGCGTCCAGCAGCGCGGCCATCCCCTCCCAGTCCAAACCAGTCCAAACCAGTCCAAACCAGTCCAAACCAGTCCAAACCAGTATAACCAGTACCCTGGCCCAGCGCCCGCGCCGCGTGCCCGTCCACGGCGTCCAGCAGCGCGGCCGCTCCGTAGCAGGCGGCCGCCGGCCCCGGCCGCGTCGGCATCAGCCAGAAGGAGACGGCGGCCAGCAGGATGCGGGCGTAGCCTGGGACCAGTAAAAACCAGTATGAACCAGTAGAAACCAGTACGGACCAGTACAAACCAGTATAGAACAGCATACAGCAATATGGAGCAGTAAAAGTCCAGTTTTGGCCACCAAAACCTCCCTGAAATGGGTCCCCGGGTGATGCAGAGTGAGGGGACGACCAGTATGGACCAGTTTGGACCAGTATAAACCAGTATGGACCAGTAAAAACCAGTACAAACCAGTATAACGCAATACGGAGCAGTAAAAGTCCAATTTTGGCCACCAAAACCTCCCCAAATGACACCAAAAGGGTCCCTGGGTGATGCAGAGTGTGGGGACGACCAGTATGGACCAGTATAAACCAGTATAAACCGGTTTAAACCAGTATAAACCAGTACAAACCAGTACAAACCAGTACAAACCAGTATAAACCAGGACAAACCAGTAAAACTCTGGTTTTGGCCACCAAAAGCTCCCTAAAATGGGTGCCCAGGGGATGGGGACGACCAGTATAAACCAGTTTGGACCAGTGTAAACCAGTTTGGACCAGTATAAACCAGTAAAAAGCACCGTGGATGGGTTCAAACCAGTACAAACCAGTACAAACCAGTACAGCCCCATCTGGAACGCCCCCAAACCCCTCCCAGTATAAACCAGTGACCCCCAAACCCCTCCCAGTCCCTCCCAGTATAAACCAGTCCCCCCCAGTTCCCTCCCAGTATAAACCAGTCCCCCCTAAACCCCTCCCAGTATAAACCAATGACCCCCAAACCC